AATCCCGATATTTTTGGCAAATAATCCCGGAATTTTCGGGATTTGTAATTTGCACTGATGTCAATAATAGAAACTTCATTTTCTTGGCTATATTTCTTTTTTTTTTATTTAATAATTAACACTTTTTTATAAATGTCTAGCTCATTATACATATAACACCGTGTGATAGTAAATTGTACACACAAAAATCAATATATTCGCGAAATCATGGGCTAAATATAGTAAGATTGCTTTTTTACGTCAGTAATCCAGAAATGATTTAAAAAATTCAGTGAAATGTGCTTAGAGAAGCAGTATGGGTATCAAATTAAAGAGAGAATTCTGTAGAATTTAATCAGATTCAATTTTGTGGAACATAAGGACTGGGAAGTATTGAAAATGTCCTTTTAAAATTGTATCCTTGAAATTTCGCAATATTTGCATTCGTCTTCTAACTTTATCAGCTTAAAAAATTACCTATTCGTCCTTGTGAATCCAAAAAATTTTACTTTTTAAATTCTAAAGTAATTTCCTCTTTCATTTGGTACCCATATTTTTATTCTACATTGCATTGAATTTTTGAAATAATTTTTAGAATTTATCATATCTTTGAAATTACAAAGTCAATTAAAATAAATCCTGACGTCAGAGAGAAAAAATAAAAGCACCACTTTAAATAAAAAAGTAGATTTCCAACCCATTTATTTATTATTTATTTCATGGTAGGAGAGATAAAAGCAATTTTTCGATTTAAGTTATTGAAAAGTATTAAATATCTCAATCCCGGGACTAATCCCGGGTTCCCGGGATTGTGATAACCACATTTATAAAATCCCGGGATCGTAAAAAGCGGAAAAATTAACATCCCTAGTTGGTAGGCTCGGCCAAACACTAACATATGTGTAAGCGCCAATCTATTATAATTATTATTACTGAAGACTGGTACGCTGAAAAGGGCTTGTCAATAATCCCATTGAAGTCCAACATGCCCCATTTACCAAAAGGAGGAAAGTCAACTTGAATAGATCCACCTTAGCAGGGACAAAAATTGAGCTACGAGGGCGTTTTATACCTGTCAGAGATTTCATGGTAAGACATAGGGAATAACGCTCAAACTGACGTATTGGTCTTTCGATACGGTAGTAAAAACCTTTGTTGCATATGCGGCACTGGCCTGGTGGCCAAAAGCTAAGCAATTAAACGCGAGTGCCATCTTGAGGAAGCTGTACCGACTGGTGCGCGTGGTCATTACAGGAGCTATGCGCACCAGTCCAACGGATGCCCTTGGTGTCATTACAGGCATTTATCCTTTGTCTATTCTGATTGAAAAAGAGGCCTGCTGGAACGCTTTATGGCTGTCCAATACGATCAGCATGACAAGTGGAGATGTTGGGGGTCATTTGGACGTTCTCAAGCCAATCCTGGATGATCCCGAGTTATCCTTCTACAAACTCTACATGGTCAGAATTTCTGACAGGGGAAAAGTCTGCCAATGGGCACACATCCAACCATGTTTCAAGCGGAAAGTCAGGCAACGTTAAAGGCCGTAGACTATTTTAAAACAGCATCAATACTTGGAGACAGTTGTAAAACTTTTCTGAACTACTTCGGAGCGCATAATAGTCTAACGCTGTAGTGGATTCCCGAAAATGAAGGGTTTGAAGGGCTGCCTGTCTCGCAAAGCGTGGATCCCAAATACGCTTGCATGGTCCTAAGCCTTTCTGCGGTATATTTAAAGGATACACTGCAGAACTACTAAGGAGTGCTGGGAAGAATCTCAGATTGCTGCTCACAAGCGGGAGTCAAAGGAAATGAGACAATCAAAGAGATACATAAGTTCCTTCAGGAGTAACTCCGAAAGACTCATTGAACTTAGACGGGAGATTCTTAGAACTCATACTGGCAGTTAAGGTACCAATTGAATAAAATGAGGCTTTCTCTAGAGACGGAGAGCAAGTTTTGTGGGCTGGGTTTAGCACAAAAGATCTTATTGCGAGTATTCCTGACGTAATAATTATAACAATAATAATATAATAAGCCTGCACAGAAAAAAATAATTGTTTACACAGTTAATTTGTTTTTATTGTACCAGCTGCTTTAGTTTTACTAAATGTTATTTTATCTTTAATTTTAATAAACTTGATATTGAAAAACAATTAAAAGACTAAAAAAAAAATTTGGTAGGTTTTAGTT